CGCCATTACGTAAAATCACACAGGTTCCCGTAAACTTTGACATCATAATTCAAAACATTTGTCGTCACAATTAAAAAGTGATTGTTGCCTGACGTCAAAAGGTGATTCGGAGTAGATCTAAGGTCATTCGGAGGCAAAATATAGCTAAATACCAAAAGTGTAAATACGTTTATTAGAAGTGTCATTTCTCTAATTTTTTCCCTATTTTCACATTTCCCAACCGATTGTGAAAAAAATGTTCTCCTCACTAGTAAAATAACTGTTCTCGGCAAATGATTGGTCGAAATTTAATTATGACGTTAAATTTTCTTGGTTTCTTCTGAACTTCCTATTGTGACGTCATGAAATAAGGCGACCATGCCTGATGACGTCACATATAAAGAATACAACTTTCAGCAAATCTTTGAAAAGGAAGGATAAAAATCATTAGAGAAACAGATTCCATCACTATAACTCGTGTATTACGATATTTCTCCACTCTCAACAGTTACATTTTAAGTATTTAAAAAGCTCGGCAAGCCTCGCGCTTTAAATATTAAAATGTAACTGTCTCGAGTGGAGAAATATCGTAACACACTTATTGCAGTGGTGGAATCTATATTTATCACAGCATTCCCGATTTTATTGACAGCAGTAGAGAACAAAAAAGTTAAAATGTTGTGGTACCTGTTTAGAGTCAACACTGATTAGAATATTTTCTAGTAAAACTTTTGTTCTCCAGAATAGCACTTTTCAAGGAAAAAGGTTTTACCAGAAATTATCATTTTTGGATCCACCAGAGCAACGTTATAAAAAAATAAGTTTTCATAGATTTCTTTTTAAGCTTTGTAACCAATTTTTTCTGTTTTCTGGATTTCTCCCGTGTTTTTAAATTTCGTTGCTTGGTATATTGTGTATAAAGAATGTGTTTACGGTATATGGCCCTTCGTAGCTCACTGTTTATACAGGGCAAAGCTGAAGTTTAATAGATCATTAGATGCTAAAGTTAGACAAGCTTTTTGGAAAGTGTTTTTGTTTCCTTCAGTTTGATTAAAATATTTATTTCTTCAAAGAGAAATACAAGAATTACAAAATTTATAAACAAACTCTTCGAAATAAGTCCTAACGAAATCTCTTTAGACTGATACCGAATTGATCACCATACAACTTTAAACTGTCTTTACATCTAGGAAAAACTGAATGTATGCTTTTTGGACCTCCAAAAAAGATTAGACAAAATATTAATTTTCAGGTCAAATGTAATGATCACCTTATCAAATCGACAAATTGTGTCAAATGTTTAGGAGTTCACATTGATAATTTTTTAAATTGTGAACAAATAGTTTCCAATGTCATAAGAAAAGTTAATGCAAGATTAAGATTTGTATATAGAAATGCCAAATGTTTGGATACTAGATCAAAGGATGACTCTCACATCTGCTCTGATACAATGCCATTTCGATTATATTTTCTCTTCGTGGTATAGTAGTCTGGGCAAAGGGATGACAAAACAATTGCAAGTTGTACAGAATAAGGTGATGGGTTCATCATAGGTCTGGGTCCAAGGACTAGAATTGCATGTGATATTTTAGATAAAGTTAATTCGCTATGTGTAAAAGATAGAGTTAGTCAACTTAGATTAAACCATGTATTCAATATATATCATGGACATGCTCCAGAGTATTTTTGTGAACATTTTGACTTGAATAATCATAATACCAGAAGTGCTGCACATAATAATTATTTTGTACCAAATGTTAAAACCTGTAACAAAAACAGCTTTGTTTATAATGCTATACAAGACTGGAACAATCTACCAGCCAACATAAAAAATATATCAAATATATCTGCTTTTAAGACTGCAGTTAAAGAACAATTAAAAAATAATAGCAAGAAATATAGAAACTGGAGATTTTTTATATGTTTTGTAAGAAACAATTGATCTTTCTTTTTTTTTTTTTGGTGAAAGTCAAATCTTAACATATAATTTGAAATATTATTTTTATATATTTTCAAACAAGGGACCCCATTGGAAATAAGCTATACTATGTAAGCGTTTATGGGGGGTCTCATTGGGGGGGGGGGGGTCTAATCCCGGATCCCGCTTATTGTTTTGTCAGATTCCCGTATCCCGCTTATCATTTTTTTATTTTCATCGCTTATATTTGTTTTCTATAAGAAGTCCCCTTGATAGAGCCCTCCTATCGGTATACCACACTTGTATTACCATTGGCAAGTTATCAGGGAACCGATAAATGGCTTACTGGTGTCACAAATTTAGGAATGATACACAAAGTTTGTCAGTGACTCGCCAAAGGTGGGTGGTACTCTGGGCGCCAAGACTGTGAGAAGCGTAACTACATGTCCAATAAACAGTGGGTAAAAATTACGGCAGGGGGATCTGGGGCCGCTGAATGCACCCAGCAGGTCTAGGGTAGATTTGAGAGTACTCGAAGTTGCTGAAAGTTAGTTGATTGATTGATTGATTGATTGATTGATTGATTGATTGATTGATTGATTGATTGATTGATTGATTGCTCAAAATGGCAAATAGTTCATGATTGTTCAGGACAAAAACAAATTTACAATAAATACTACAGGTAGCTAGGTCCTGATCGTCGAGGATGAAGGTCTGGAATTTTAGAAATGCAATGCATAGAAAATGTGGTTTTCTTGGATAGGAACATAGATTTTGCCTTTCAGTAGACCACCTACGAACCCCTCAAAGAGTTGTTGCAAGTTGCTGAACGTGTGGAGAGCGTGGCATTCTCTCTACACTAAGAGGCATCGGATTTAACGTTCCCATTCTGACCAGACGTGACTGCGTAATTATACATTACGCACAACCAAAGGAACGCCTAACTTCGACAAGGATTTTATTGTAGGTCGGATAAGGACCAACTGGAAAGCTAGTTGAAAGTCAACAACAATTAATAAAAAATAAATCATGTATATAAAAAAGGCAGGGTTTTGAGCATGATGAGGCTAATTCAAGTATTTGTTGATAGAAATGAAATGATCTGAACCAAAGATCAAGTTTTTAGTTTATATAAGGTGGAATATAATGACATTCTATCCAATACTCAATTCACTAAGGATGATAGACTAGTGTACAAATGTCATTTGATAAATAAAGAGTTTTACCGAGTTCACATGTATCTACAGATAATGTTGTTTTTATTTTTTGTATATAAAAAAATATTTGTGAAAAAAATATGTGTATAGGTACGTGCCTAAAGTGTCTAACGGCAGCTACGCCCTTGACTGGCATAAGATTATATTGAGAAAAAACGGATTACGTTTGATATGATAAACAAACACAAATTACTTATATCCCCATCACACTAGGACCACGATCCCAGTACGATCTCTGAAATTATAAAATTTTGAAAGTCATAGTAAGATCGTGGTAAGGTCGTAATAAGGACATGCCAAGCCTTCATGATCGTGGAGCTTTGAATATGCTCAAAACATTCGTAGTGTGGTCATGGCCAAAACTAGTTGAAGTAGAACCGTATGAACTCAGTCGTAGTAAGGACGTAGTTAGATCGGGATGGGCGTAGAAGCATCGTATTGGAAACGTGTAGCAATCGGGGTAGCCAATGGAAAATATTTCGCTGCAACCTTAGGTAGGCCTGTAAGATTTCACTGCGACTATCCCGATTTCACTATATGTCTTAATTACGCTTCTGCAATATTGATTCGATTATTCTACGATGAGGAAGACAATAATGCGCTTCTACTTTGCCCTTGTCGTCCTCTTCCACATCACTACGATTCTACTACGTCCTAGCCACGAGAATTGTGTTATATTTCCTAATTTGCAAATTGGAAATTTCAAAATTGCATACCTTTTTTGAGACCTCTGCTTTTTATTTAGCACCCCGATCTCTAAGTGATTTTAATACCTTTAGTGGAAAGCTATCTCAAGGAAACTGATGTGTACAATGGGAAAGTCAAGATATTTATAGGGACGAAGAGCGTAGTGACAACGAAGTGGAGTCGTTTTTCGATCGTAGTAGACACGAATTGAAATCGTAATGCGATCTTGAAGGTTTTGGAAGAAGCGTTCAGAGATCGTTTAAGTCGTGGTAAGGTCTTATTAGACGCAACAAGAGCGTGACAAGATAGTAACTATAGAATATGTTATTGTCGTAGCGAAATCGTAGCAGGATCTTATCAGGATCATAGCAAGATCGCAGTATCAACGTGAAAAGTATGAAATAAATTAATGAATATTCAAGCCAACCATACCACGATCTCACTGCAATCTTATCTATTTTAATTAGTAAATCACTCAAGTATGAGGTCAACTCCTTATTCATGGTCTTGGTCTAGGGTGATGGGGGCTTTGCATCTACTTCATTTGAACTTTGGTCACGGGACATCTGTCTCATTGGCAGTCAATCCACATCCCTTTTTTTCATTTTTTGACAACAAATTTTGATTCACGCTTAATAAAATGATGATTTCCCCGAATTCCCGGCTCATTATTTTGTAATTTCACGTGTCCCGTCCGACTTTATTTCCCGTTTTCAAGGACAATAATTTGACTTTCACGTGTCACGCTTACAAAAATCGGCCTATCCCGCGTCACGCTTAGACCCCAATGAGACCCACTTTATGGGATACCCCAGGCTTCTTTCTAAGCACTGTTTTTAAAATATATTATGATACTATTTTAAAAGTATATATATATATTATTTGTCTTGTTTTGTCTTGTGAATTTTTATATATGTGCTTGAATTTGCCTGAATAAAACTATACTATACTATACAACTAAGTTAAATCTCTATATAAAAGATGACAACGAAAACTTGTAGATAAACGAAAAGTTCTATCGTTTCCTTTGCCTCATAGTTTTTTCTCACTACTGTCCATTTTATGTTACCTGTGAGACTGTCAAAAATTTACTGATTTATTTATTTCAAAAGATTTTTTTATCACTTATTAATGTACGGAAATTGTTGTTCCGTATTCGTTTTGTGTTTTTTTTTCTACAAACATTTTACGGACTTGTAAATGCGTCTTTGTCGAAAAGACTCTTGCATGAAGACGTCAAACTCTACAAATCACCAAATCACAACGAAAAAGTTAATCTTATTATTTACAGGTAACACTAGTCTATTTCTTAAAAGAGCCATGATAATTCAATAGGTACGAATAAGATTTCCAACCTGTTTTTTTTTCTCTACACGAAAAGAAAAAAATGTAAGATCAGTCCACTTATCGCTTCTTTTCCAAAATATGTATGAATTACCATACAAAATGATGAAAGTGAATTAAAATTGCTCTTGGTGGCAATTGAAAGCAACACCATGAACAGATTTGCAACATCTTCACCTGGCTGTCATGTTGCATGACTGAGTCCTGTAATGTGCCAGACAAATGGGACGGTCTACAAAAAAGATAACTCAGACCGTCAATAAGTCAACTCAGACTGTTTATTATGCCAATTCAGACTTAGCACAACATAACTTTTAGTTAATCTCTGAACACTGACAAAATGTACTCAAGTATGCAAGTGGAAGATCCGTAAATGAGTGCACACTTCTTCAGGAGATGACTGACTCATCCTGATCCTAAGGTCAATATATATGTTGACACAACTAGTCTCTTTGTATTTGCTTGTTTCATCTTAGTGCTAGATTTCTCGGAGTAATGTCACACTGTACTTAGGTTAATTTGTTTAGGCGCAGGATCAGGATTCTTCAGGGCAAAGGTATTTTGAAATGGCCCTGAACTCTTTAAATATTCTATTATATCTGCTGTTCTCTCGTATGTCTCTTTCTTTGCTGGTGCCAGTAGTGTCTGAAGATCTATTGGGATGTTTTGTATCTCCAGTTGTCTTTTCATTTTTTCCTGATGGTATACAATTAGGTAGGAAGTGTTCTATGCTTTCTTCTTCACCACATTCGCAATATGACGTGAGAGATTGGCCTATCTGATGGCTTATTTAGTCTATTGTAGCCTGTTCTGAATTCTGACATGATTCTCCCTATAACTGGATTTGGATAATCAAGTAGATGGGCCTTACCTACAATAGGAACTAATTCCTGTAGCATTCTTCCAGTTTCACTTCTAGTCCATCTATTTTGCCATTTTAGATCTAGAGTTGTTGACATCTTAACTGCACTTCTCACATCTGGCATTGTTAAGACGTTATACTGGTCATTTAGACTTGAAGCCTCCTGCATTGCATCTTTTGCCTACTGGTCCGCTATCTCGTTCTCGGCTATATTAGCATGGCCTTGGATCCAAGATAGGGTAGTTTATATGCCGCCTCTCAGGAGGGTGCCAATGCTTTCTTAATGTCTGTGATAGTGTCAATGTAGTTAGTTGACTTCCAGTTGAGAGTCAAGATGCCAACAGCTGTCTGGCTATCTGATAGAATCTTTACTTCAGTGAACTGTTCTCTAAGTGTGTAAATGCAGTGTTCCAAAACCATAAGGATAGCTACATTTTTATACTAGTTCAGCTAAGAGTATTGAGCCTCTGCTAGCTACTGGTCTTTTTAAGCTTGTTCCTTGGTGGTTCTCAGTATATATTACTGCTCCTGATCCACATGGTCCTGGATTTCCCTGACAGGAGCCATCTGTAAATGCAATAGCTTATGAATCTGAGCTTTCTCCTATCAGTTCTTGTACAATTTGTTTTCTTTGGGCAGTTTATTCTGCGGTTCTGTTTTTTTAGCTTCCCAATCGGCTTCAGTAGCTTGGTGCTCTCATCAGCATAAAATCTGTTCCTGCCTTGTAGTTAAACTCTGTTTGATATCTACTTTTGTTGCTTTTAGCATGTCGATGCCTTGATTTATAGCCTTACCATGCTTACCAAATGGAGATTCCTGTCGTTCATATGTATCATTGTTGGTAAGATACTCCTCCAGCTGTTGTTTGATTGGTTCGGCTATGTATTTTGATTGGATTTTTGCTATTTCTCATGTTTCTCGAACTGAGATTTCTTCTATTCAGAGGTCGATTGGTTGCATATTGGCCAGTATTTCCATTGCTTCTCTACCTGCTGTTCCTGGTAATCCAAGGCTAACTGATAATCCTTTTTTTTGTATAGCTTCCAGTTTTTTCATATTTTCCATTGATGTTATCTGCCAAACTGGGAACGCATATTCAATGATAGATCTTAACATGCTGTTATAGATTTGAAGTAGTTTTGTTCTTGAGATTTTTCCTAGGCCCTTTATTTCTTGTATAACATTTAATGCATTGTTTGCTCTCTTCTGCACTATATCCGTGTGCATGTCAAATTTGAATTTTTTCATCCAACGTTACGCCAAGTAGTTTGGGTGTAGGACTGTATTTGAAGTAGAACGAGTTGACAGTCAGAGTTTTTTATGCCCCCGCCGTAGCAGAGGGGGCATTAAGTTTTACCCTTGTCCGTCTGTACGTATGTAGGTACGTACGTCCCAAAATTGGTTTCCGTTCTCTAACTTTAGTTTCAACTTTGTCTCAACCAAATGTTATGAAACTTATACACAATGCTTATTACCACAAAACACAGATTAAGTTTGAATTTTGGTGGCGTCACTTTTACCGTTCTAGAGTTATGCCCCTTTACAAATGGAAAATTGCTGAATTTATCGTTTCCGTTCTCTAACTTTAGTTTGTCTCAACCAAATGTTATGAAACTTATACACAATGCTTATTACCACAAAACACAGATCAAGTTTGAATTTTGGTGGTGTCACTTTTACCGTTCTAGAGTTATGCCCCTTTACAAATGGAAAAATTGCCGAATTTTTCGTTTCCATTCACTAACTTTAGTTTGCCTCAACCAAATGTTATGAAACTTATACACAATGCTCATTATCACAAAACACAGATCAAGTTTGAATTTTGGTGGCGTCACTTCAACCGTTCTTGAGTTATGCCCCTTTAGAAATGGAAAAATTGCTAAATTTTTATTTTCTTCTAAATATCAAGTTATTTTAAAACGCCCGTTTACGGGACGTATTATGGTATACCTCTGTCCGTCCGTCTGTCCGTCCGTCTGTCCATCCGTCGTCAACATGTCGGACATTAACTCAAAACCGCTTTAACCAATATGCATGAAACTTTGGTGAATTGTTTATATCTATTGACGTGAGCTCCCTTTCGTTTTTTATAAATTTCGGATTTACCGTTTCCGAGTTTTGGGGTTTTATTCATTAAAAAAGGGGGGATTTTCCAGTTTGTGGACAATAACTCAAAAACGATTTCACCAATTTGCAAGAAACTTTGGTGAATTGTTTATTTCTATCGACATGAGCTCCCTTTTGATTTTTATAAATTTTAGACCATACGTTTCTGATTTATGGGGTTTTATTCATTACAAAAAGGGGGATTTTCCAGTTTTCAGACAATATCTCAAAAATGCTTTCAGCATTTTTTATGAAACTTTGGTAAATTGTTTATATCTATTGTTATAAGCTCCCTTTTGATTTTTATAAATGTAAGATTTTATGTTTCCGAGTTATAAGATTTTATTCATAAAAAAAGGGTTGATTTTCAAGTTTTTGGACAATATCCTTAAAGTGCTTAGAGCAGTTTTCATTAAACTTTGATGACTGATTTATATCTATTAAGATAACCTCCCTTTAGTTTTTTATAAATTTCTGATATAACATTGAGAAGTTATTGTTTGTTTATAGTCTGACAACAGATTTACTAATTATTGCGCAACAGCACAGTGTATTGCACAACAGCAAGAAATCTTTAATTGAATATAAAATCAATTCATATAACCAATTTCAAGTTCTTTGACTACATTTATTCAGAAACCTATATTATGTCAAATATTTAATTACAATCCAAATTCAGACCTGTATCAAGCTTGAATATTGTGTCCATTTTTGCCCCAACTGTTCAGGGTTGGACCTCTGCGGGCGTATCCAGCTGCGCTCAGCGAAGCAGTTTATTAAAATTGGAGTTATCTTTCTTTTTCCATGATTATAGTTGAATCAACTACAATCAATGCTTTATACAATGCAATGTTTAATTTTGACTTCCACTGATAAAACACAGATCAAGTTGAATTTGGGTAGTGTCACTTTAACCATTATTGAGTTATGCCCCATTATCAGTCAAGGGTCTAACTTAAATAAGTTATTAGAGAAAATTAACATACATTTGTTATTGAGGGCTAAAAAATAAAAAATCTGTGATAACATATGTATGTTACATGTTTCAAAGGGGCATTATACATCCTTTATTTTGTTAAATTGTGTACTAGTTCTATTGATATTATAATTGTCTTTATGTATATTAAACTTTAGAAAGATATAACAGCCCATAGTTTGCCAATCATGCATAACACACCCATGTTATTACAGAAAAAATATGCCCGTAATAACAAAAGGGTGTTATTACAGCTTCTCTACATCTCTTCAAAGCCTTTTCTCCCACATATATCACAATGTATTTTAATTTATTGTAATAGATAATGATAAGAGCATGTAATGAGGTTCTGCGCAAGCTTCCTAGTCATTCCCAAGTGTCTCATGTAATAAGTTAAATGCCTGTAATAACTAAGCCTTGTTATTACAGCTAAGTTATCACTTAAAAGCCTTGTCTCATTGATTTACCATGGTTGATCAAAAATGTTTTAATTGAATTGGAAAATTAGTTTTCAAGGTTATGTATTAAGTTACTGCGCAAGTTTCAAGAATTCCCAAGTGCCCACTGAAAATAAAAAAATTTATGGTACATTTAACTGATAACAAGCATATGTTACTACAGATTAAGAGAAAGTATCCGTAATAACACATGTATGTTATTTTTCTCTAATAACTTATTCAAGTTACACCCTTGACTGTTTATAAATCGAAAGATTGCTAAATTTTTAGTTTCCATTCTGTAACTTAAGTTTGCCCCAACCAAACATTATGAAACCTATACACAATATTCATTACCACAAAACTAAGATCAAGTACAAATTTTTTGTTTCCGTTTTCTAACGTTTAACTTTAGTTTGCCTCAACCAAATGTTATGAAACTTATACACGATGCTTATTACTACATAATACAGATTAAGTACGAAATTTGGTGGCAACACTTTTACCATTCTTGAGTTATGTCCCTTTATAAACATAAAAGTTGCTGAATTTTTCGTTTCCGTTCT